AAAAAAAAAAAAAAAGAAAAAAAGAAAAGAAAAGAAAAGAAAAAAAAAAAAAGGCCGAGGTTGGGGCTGGGGGAAAGAAAGAGCAATTCCTCAGCCTGAAATTCAGCTGTGGGGGAGGGAAACGCGGTTCGGGGAGCGGAGCTGGAGGGAAGGGGCCGGTTCCTTTGGAAAGCTCTCCCTTCTCGGGGAGGTCACGGCGGGTGTGTGGAGGCCGGACTAATTTAAGGCGCCGTTGCAAATAAATAGGGGAATAATCGCAGTTTTCCTCTAAATAGAATGAAACACGAGCCCGAGCAGTGCAGCAAACCCTCGTCCCTGCCTCCAGCCCAACCCTTCCAAGGCAGAGAAGGACCCGCAGCCTCCCGATCTTCGGGTGGGTTTTTTTTTTTTTGGGGCCGGAAGGGAAAAAAAAAAAGCAAAAAGAGGAGGGGGGGTGTGTGTGGAAATGGAAATGGAGATGGAGATCCCTTTGGCTTCTCCAAAGCATAATTACCACATTGTTGGTGTGTGTCTGTATCGGAGCAATATGAACCACGTCCAGCCCTTCTCCAGCCCTCCCCCTCCCTGGCTGCCAACACGGGACTCGGGAAATTAAAAAAAATAAAATAAAAAAAAAATTAAAAAAAATGGGGAAAAAGAAAGAAAGAAAAAAAAAACCAACACCAAAAAAAAACCCCAAGAAAACCCTGGAGCTGATGTTTTCCTTAAAAAGGTGACCCGGCAGCCCCGGGGTCCGTGTCGTGTTGTGATCCGATGCTCACCCTTCTCCTCCGAGAGAGGAACCGGGGCTGTACAAGTCTGCTGACCTCGCAATGATCCCTCTCGCCTATGAATTATTGATGAGATATGAGCTCTGATTTCTCTTTTCAGTATGCAAACCCCATTATACTGTTAAAATGGCGATTTAATCGTTTAGAATAGCTCCGCTTTTTTTTTTTTTCCAACTCATTTGTGCCCCTTCCTTTTCATTTAATTCTCTTAATTAAATCCTTTAACAGATTTTAATCACTTTTTGCTGAATAAAATAAGACATCACGCGCATCAGTAACTAGGTTACCTTGGCGAAGTTTGTTTTTGGTGGGGGTTTCTTTGTTTTGGGGTGGTTTTTAGTTCGGCCTGTGCCTTTCTTGCTTGGGTTTTTGGGTGGGAGGACGCCTGAATTTTGTCTTAACGCCGCACCCAGCGAGCAGGGAAGGTCTAAAACGTTAAGAAAAAACCCCTCTAAAATAAAATAAATAAAAGCACGACATTCAAAATGGCCTGACAACGGCACTGCAGCACCGAGCTGCCTTTTGCAGCTCCCCAAACCTCCCAGACAGATTCTTCCCTCCATCCAGACCCCAAATCGCTCGGTGCTGAACGAACCTGGGAACCAAACGGGGGTTTTAGGGGCGAAATTCCACCTTTTTTCACTCTCCGGCAGCAGCCTGGGCAGGAGGGTCCCTTCCTGCCCTGCCCCGGGGTGATGCCCCCCCAAAAGGCGGCTTGATGAGGGTTGTAATTAATGCAGATGCTCAGCTCGGCTCTGGCGGGCTGGGGAACCTGAGCTTGGCTCTTGGGGGAGGAAGAACTGCTTTGGGGGTGGGTTTTTTCCCCCTTCAGAGCACCAGCGAGGTTTATATGCTGCTTACTGAATAAAAAAACCTCCAGGGGAGGGGAGAGGTTAAAGACGGAGGACAGGGGAGGCAAAAATAGGGGAAAATTTGGGATATTGGCACCTATTTCTTAAGGAGAGATACCCTGAGCCAGGTGGACTCACAGGGAGGGTCCTCACTTGGCATTTTTGGGGCAAACAACCCCCACCTACCCAGGCCATCACCGTTCTTAGGTTTGAGAGCCCTTAAATCAGAGGTTTCCTCACCTAAACCCAAAGGCATCGCAGAAATATCTGCACAACTACACGCTTAAAACGAGAGACATTTTTTTTTTTCCAGTTTCCTCAGCAGGAATCACGTCCCAGAGATTCTCCATATTCTCAGGCTCGATATTAAAGCGCTTTGTATTTATTCTGTGTCTTCTACAGCTCCAGAAGAACTAATTGTCCCGTGTCTGATGCGTGGCATTAGAGTGAGAGAAGCGATGAAAAATGCCAAGGAAAATCCCCGCCTACCTGCACGGTCAGAGCTTCGCTTTCCTGTTTACTCTCCTTATACTTCCTTTTTCACCAGAAACAGGGAGGGTTTTTTTTCTTTTTTTGCTTTAAAGGATGGGGGGGGGGGGGGGGAAGCCTGTGCTAAACCTGTGACCCTTTGCAGGCTGTAAAACGCCAGACAATGATACCGCACAGGAAGCTCGAGGTTTCACCACGTAATGGGGGGAGAAAAAAAAAAAAAAAAAAAACCCAAGTAAAGCAAAAAAAAAAAAAAAAAAAAAAAAAAACCCAATAAAAAAAAAAAAAAAAAAAAAAAAAAAAAAAAATCCAACTTGTTAAAACAAAACCAGATAAAACACCCCAAACCAACCCCCAAAAATGCTACGTGCTGCAGGTAGAAATGAGATCTCATGGCCAGAGAGGACAGGATTTCTCGTGATCGATTGGAAGGATGATGTTGTTATGCCAGTAACAAAATCCAGCCCTTGTTCCCGGTGCCCGGGATGCTCCAGACGAGGGTTGTTACCTGTTGTCCCCCCTACAGGCGTCTCATCCCGCAGCTAAACTGCCTCGCGAATCCCCCCCTGCTCTGGGGGTCTGCATCTGCTTTTTCCCCTCCTTTTAAAGAACACGCTTTCTGCACCAACCGGTTAGAAATGAGGGTATTTGAAAGGAAAAAAAAAAGAAAAAACACAAAAACCCTTGTATTTCCCGTGATCAGAGTGGGTTTGGGAGGGAAGTTTTCCTGGGACTGGATAAAACCTGAATACTTTGGGGTGGGGATGGGACAGTGATGAGGATGATGGATGGGGAGGAGGTGGATGAAGGGATAATCCATGGACACATGGGTGGATGGATGCAGTTTGGAAACACGGTGTCTGTGGGTCCACGAAGGCACTGAATCCATGGTTATATCCCAAACACCCATTAAAGCCAGGGGGAGTCACTTTTCTTGCCTGAATATTTGAATCAGGAGAGACAATTTCAAGTCACCAGCACGGCCCAGAAGGGCGAAGGACGAGCAGGTCACCCCTTGGGCTGACCCCAAACCATCCCCCCCCTCTCCCCACATCCCTCTCCTCCAAATCTCTCCAAACCGCCCTCAACCCATCGCGTTCTTGCCGCCAAACCCACCCTTAGAGGTCGAGTCCTCCAGCATCCCATAAAATATCTTTATTATCCACTGAAAAGCGGGGATTAGGAGAGGTTGTTCAGCACAAACCCAATCTGCCGGGTGGGAAAGGCTGCCCGCAGATCCCTTCCCTCCCTCGGCTTTCCAGCTTTGGCATCTGTGTTTCCAGGGGGGTTCAGGGCTGCAGTGGCCACCCCCCGACTGGCCCAGGGAGGGAGAAGCCAGAAGTTCAGCTGATGATGGCAAAGATACGAGGAGACACATGGAGCAGGGCAGGAAAAACAGCCCGAGGAAGGAAAAGCAATCTCCAAAGTGTGCGAAAGGGGGACATTCTGCTTTGTGTAAAAGAGACGGACATGTGTCCACCAAATGTTGTCTCACCGTAAAAAAAAAAAAAAGAGAGAGAGAGAAAGAAAGAAAGAGGGGGGGAAAAAGTAAAAAGAAGCTCGTGGCTGCTCTGAATTCTAGAAAACCGCCCTTCTCCCCCAGCACCTTCGCTTTGAACTGGTTTTTTTAAGATTATTTTATTTTTTAAGGAGGGAGGAGGAGGAGGGGAGTTGGTTCAGGTGTGGACGGAGTGTCCCCCCCCCCCCCCCCCCCCCTGTGACGACTGGGCTTTCAAAAGAGAAAAAAAAAATAAGGAGCCACTCCAGGATTAGGTTAAGGGGTCGAGTTTGGGTTTTCCCCCCTCTGTTTTGCTCTAACTCTCTTATTTTGCGAGGACCCGGGGTTGGAACCCCTGGCCGGGGCCACCTGCCCACCCCAGCCCCTCGCCCCCGACCCACGGCCGGCTCTGCTCTCCTGCCCTTCCCCGCTCACTTGTTTATTTTCCCAAAGAAAACCGCTGCTGCTGCCTGCCTTTCCCAGAAAGTTGTCACTCTTAGAGGGGAGAGAAGGGAATCTGGGAGGTACCGGTGGGTTCAATGAGGTTTGGAGGGTCCGTGGGCAAAGTGCAGCTCCTCTGATTATTTTTCTGCAGCACTTGGAGACGGGCTGGAGACCTAACAGTGATCATCCAGTGTCTCCATAGGGTAGAAACGAACTACAGAAAGACGAGGACACTCATTCGTATTATTGGGGGGGGAGGGGGAAAAAAACCCAAACCGAAACCCAAGAGGAAAAAAAATAAATAAAAAAAAAAATAATAAAAAAATAAAAACTCTGGGGGAAAAAAAAGAAAACAAACCCAAAAACAATTCCTCAAACCAACCAACCAACCCCGGTCTCTACACAGGCCGAAAGGAAAAATAAAATAAAAAAAAAAAAAGTGCACACATTTCTTTGGCAAAAGCAGGTGGAAAAGAAGTAAAATGCGAAGGTGGTAACAACCTGAGGAGCACGGACAGAACAGAGCTGGCTGAGATGCAAAGGCGTGGGTCGGGTTTGGGGCCGTTCGAGAGCAGCACAAACCACCCCGAACCACCTCCACCAAACGAGCGAGAGGAGCCTTTTCCCCCCAAACTTTGGCTGAAGCGTCCCCCGGCAAAGGCGGGATGGAGTTTGCTTTGGCGATGATAATGAATCTGTACGGATTTTTTTTTTTTTTTTCTTAATCTGTTTCTCCCGCTCGCACAAAGTTTTACTGGCGGGCCTGGAAGCTGAGATGGAAACGTAACCCAATTCCAGCTCTCGGGAGGCTGAGGATTAGGACCTTCTGAAAAGCGAGAAATAAAACTCCGAAGGAGAGTCAGCCCCTCTTTCCTCCCCGCTCAACCTTCAGCCATATCCAAACCCTTTAAAATAAGTTTAAGCAGATAATATTTCAGAAGGACTTACTTTCAGGACTCCAGTCTATTGGCTCCCTGGACTGAAAAGTGGACCCGCAAAACATGTTCCCTGCAATTGCAACGTTTATCTCATCTGGAAAAGTGCTCACCCATTGCTGCCCCTTACAAGCCAAACCAAGCAGTTAAAGTGTCACTTAACATTCTAGAGAATGTGAAATATATTGTACATTGTCAACTCCCCAAAACCATAAAACTAACTTTATGGACCTCACGTGACTTTTGAGAGCCAGTGAGGGGTATCTGTCTGAGGTCTGGGCGATTTTTACGATCTAACTTCTAGATAAAACCCTATCCATTTGACATCTAAATGTCATACCCACTTTTGGTATAGTTTGCTATTGGTAAAAAAAAAGTGAGTAAAAAAAAAAAAAGAGAGAGAGAGAGGAAAGAAAGGAAAAAAAAAAAATACCAAAGGAAGGCGAGCAAATGGTTTGGGATCTGACAGTCCACTTCACATCCCTCTCAAAATCACTTAAGAAGTACCTAAACAGTGGGAGATTAAGTTTGGTAAGTTTTAAGCTCCAACTTTACTTGCTACGAACAGAAAAAGCCTGAGCCGTGTTGCAGAGATGTCGGTGGCGTTTTGCCAAACCGGGCGACTTTAAACCGGAGTGTCTCGTGCCTTGTTAGATTCCCTGGGTAGCGAAATGGCAACATTTGCCACCTTTGAGGATGTTAAATTGTCTGCAGCCGAAATGCCTCGTTGTAGCGTCGGTAGTCACAGAGCTGCGAGCTCTTATTTACATGTTGAGCCAGAGACTAAAGGGGTAAAAGCACGATAAAGCGAGGAGGAGAAGCCGCGGAGAGCTGAGCTTAGCCCAGAACTGGGATGTTTCCAGGCGCGTTCTGTGTCTCTAACCGACCTCTCCCCACTGCGATTCTCTCGAGCGCAGTTTTGGCGGCCGTGGATGCGTCTGTGGTACCTCTGGCTTGGGAAACGCGCCTGGTTTAGACCCGACAGCTCCTGAGATCTGCCGGGGAAGGGTTTTAAACCGCGTTAGTGCAACTCGAATTGCTGGAGAGCGGGTCTGGTGATGCGGTGCGGGGTGTTGGGGTAAGGGGGGGGGGGGGGGTCTGTGTTGTTTTGGGGTGAGACGGCGTTTGGGGCAGCGCGAAGCCCCGTGTTTTATCCCCGCGCGCGGTGCCAGAAAGGTGGGGTTTGATGCGGATATTCGGGTGTTTCGGAGCTGCCAGGGATGCCCAGGAGAGGCTGCGGCTCTGCCGAGGGCTCCCAGCCCCGTGCCAGGCGTCTGCCCGGCTTTGGTCTCCGGGCTTGGGGATAAAGTGCGACCGGGAGCCTTTGTGAGTAGGAGAAACGTTTATTTGACTTCAAGTAAAGCTACAAACAAATACAAAAAGCTTATTGGCAAAGTACTAACAGGCAGCTAGACATGACAGATGCCATTTTTACACATAACATTGCATTCACTCTGCCCACTACAACCCGGCTATTAGTCACATCGGAAATATTTCTAGTATTTACAAACATCAGAGCACTCCATTGTTGGTCCGATTTTATACATTTTTTTTTTTTCTCCTTTTAATAGTGAAGTTTAGCCACGTCTAAAAGAGTACGTCTCGGAATTAGCCTGGGATTAGAAATCCTGGCCTGAAGTTTGGACTAAAACACAGACTGGACAATTTTAAGACAGAAAGATACAAGAGTTGCTTCTTTTTTTTTTTTTTTCTTTTTTCCCCCCCATTTTTTACATTTTTGTTTGGTTTTTTAGACTATTTTTTTTTTCTGCGACTGTAGTGCAGGAACCCCCGATTTTAGCTTAGGCAGAGAAGAACTCACCCCAAAAGCAGTAAACTCAGAAAAGAGGGGGAAAAAAAAAATCCCAACAAATAAACAAACAATCGTATCTGTTCTCAGTTTATAAATAAGTTATAACATTTAAAGGGCTCACAGAACACATGCTGGCTTTCCAGAAAGCATCAAGAGAGCACGGACACATAACATTTAGAAGAACAACAAGAGCATGAGGAGCATCTGGAAATAAAATTTAATTAAGGAAAAAAAAAAAAATTTTTTTTTTTTTTTTTAAAAAAACCCCAAAACAGAACAAGACATGAACTCAGTCCTGGGACAACGGTACCATACGAGTCGTTTTAGAATATCAACAACATGCCGAAAAGAAGGTGCCTCACTGTACAGTACTCGGGAACTAAGATCTGCGGCGCTTTATTTATTTATTTACGTGATTTCTCTTCTCGCCTCCTCTTCTTTCTCCTCGACAATTCCTCCTCTAGAATTTATGGCTGAAAGGCGCTGCCCGCCGAGGCCAAGCTCATGCTTTTCAGTTTATTATCCTTCTTCCATTTCATCCTCCTGTTCTGGAACCAGATTTTGATCTGGCGCTCGGAGAGGCAGAGAGCGTGAGCGATCTCTATTCTCCTCCTGCGGGTGAGATATCTATTGAAGTGGAATTCCTTTTCCAACTCCAGGGTCTGGTAGCGAGTGTACGCTGTCCTCGCCCTCTTCCCGTCTGGTCCAGTCATGTCTGAATAACACGGACAACAGCGGGGTTTGGGTTTTTGGCTTTCTGCTAGAATTTTTATTTTTTTTTTAAAGACTATTTTTCTTTTTCCTTTTTTTTTTTTTTTTTTTAAACCGAGGTAAAATATTCGCCTTGCTCCTGCAGTTTGGAAAGCTGTTTATTCCCCAAATAACAGCCCCCCCCTCCCTCGCCTCCTCTTTCTCCCACACCCCCAGACACGTGTAAAACCCCCCACCCTCGGCCCCTCCAGAACCGACATTCCCAACTCAATATTTATAATTTAACTGGAGGAACCAGAGCCTGAAATCTCCCTTTTTCGCCTCTGCCTGGGGGTCTGTGGGGCTGTTTGCAGGGAAGGTCAGGTTTGGTGCTGCTTTCTTGTCTCCAGGAGAAAAACCGGGAATGGAAGGGAAAGGGAAGGGAAGGGGGGGGGGGTGTCTCTGTTCCCCGTGTATCTCCTCGCAATTTGGGTTTTGTCAAGAGCAGATTGCCAAGAATACACCCGGCAAAATAAGAGTAGGAAAGGGCCGAGAGACCCATCTGTGCATATAATGCCATTTTAATGGTCAATTCTTTCCTTCCCCCCCACCCCCAAGGAACACCCCCTCGCCTCAATTTTTAAATTACCTTCTCCCACCATCCCCACAGCGCTACGAGCTTAAAATAAGCGCCCCTTTCGCGGCGAGAATAGCGAAACTAAAATAAAATCGAGGGCCCCCCCCAGCCCCCTCCCTTCCAGGCGCCAGAGGCAGCTTTAAAGCAGCGATCAGAGCAAGAAATACAAAAGCAATAAATAGCTGCGTTTCTCATCAAAGCGCCTCCACCGAATAAAAGGAAGGAGAGGGAAAAAAAGGGAACGGGGTAGGGGGGGGGGGGGGGGGGGGGGAAAAAAAAAAAAGGGGGGGGAGGGGGGAAGAAAGAAAAAAAAAAAAGCAAAAAAAAGAGGAAAAAGGGGGGGGGGGGGTGTGTGCGAAAATAAACAACGACAAGGACAACGACGGAAAAAGAAGTAGCTGTACCATGGCTAATGTGAAGTTTCCTCATCCAAGGGAATATCTGAGGTGCCTGCCCTTCTGTCGCTGCCGTGGAGGTCGCGATGGGCTCTGCCTGCGCTCGGGGGATGCTGCTGCTTATTGGAGTGCCCTCGTCGGCTCCCGAGGACGCGCTGGTCTCGTCTAGTTCTGTGAAATTTGTGTTGGTGGTGCTGGCAGAAGTAGCTTGGTCGGAGGGGGACGGGGTGGGTTTGCCTCCATGGCTCTCGCTGTTGGAGCAGGGAAGGGAGTCGGGAGAAGATAAGGAGCAGCTTGACGCCTGTCTAAACCTGCTCTCCTGAGCTGGAGAAGGGAAACCGCGGGAGCTCTCCCCCACAGCCCCAAAGTGACTAGAGGAGGCTGAGCGGTTGATGCTAAGGTCCATCCCATTGTAGTTGTAGCCATAAGAGCTGGAATGCATGGTGCTTGAATCTCTGTAAGAACCGTTCATGGAACTGCCGGTCCCATAATTTAGTAACTGATAGTCGGGGCCATTTGGGTAGCGCCCTGAGAACGAGTTTACAAAGTAAGAGCTCATTTGGGTTATTTTGGAGGGCTTGATTTGTGGCTCGTGGTCGTTATAACCCTGTGCTTGACGATTTATGATGTATTAATGAATTATAGCGATGCACTGTACTTCGTTTTTGCTATGTACGCGGCCAAATATGGGGGGAGGGTGGGGGGTGCGTTTGGGAATCACGTGCTTTTGTTGACCAGTCGTAAATTCTCACTGATGACCTCAAGAGGTAATTCATGCTCTATGGTTACAAATAATGACGAGCGCGGAGCCGTTTTAGGCCCGAAGTCGGTGCGCGGGCGCCCCAAATCCCCGGGCGCGCCATCGCCCCCCACCTTGGCGGACCGCGCCACCTGCCGGCAACCGGGGGGACCTGCACCCCCCTCCGGGGGGGCCCCCAGACCCCCAAAACCTCCCCCGGCCTTTCCTCTTTCCCCCCCACCTCCTCCGCACCCTCTTTTTTTTTTTTTAAATTTTTTTCAATTTTTTTTCCCTTAAAAAAAAAAATTTTAAAAAAAATCGTCACAAAAACCCTCGTGCGGGTGCTGCTGGTGGTGAAGGAGGTCACGGTGGTGTTCTGG